GTAGTCTGCCTGAAAATCAAGCGATGTAATGCATTCCCCTCCAATCCTAATACTTCATCTCCTGGAGAAACAGGGAGAGGCACCCACCCTAACTAAATCTAATGACCCAGTTCACTGCAGCATTTTTTAAAGAAAACTTCAGTGTTAATTGGAGAATCTAGCGAGTGAGATAATTAGAAAAACCCAATGAATTAATAACTTTACAAGTTAATTACCTAGTTTTTCAAGTTCTGGTCTTTAGTACTTCTTTGATTTTTCAAACATCAGCAGGTCTGAAGGAATGTGAGGCACCAATTCGGCATATCAAAACTAAATTTAAAAATGATTGACATATTTTCAGGAAACTTGCTGCCAAGGGGAACTAGAGAACACAGCTTGCTCATAAGATATCAGTGAGGAATTTAACAGCTAGAATCTTAAGCCATTTAGCATCATCATCTGAGATGAAGAGTGCAATCCTAACTCAACCAAGAGCTGGCTGAGCTGTCACTTGGCCATCTGAAGCTGGCCTAAGAGGAAAGTCAGAGGAAAACTGCCCTTTCAGCCATAATACTGACAGTTACCAGTCAGCTCAGCTATACTCCATTCAGTAGAACAGCCATCCAATGAGAGGCTGTTCTCAAACACAAGAGAAATTGCTGAACAATTAAAGGAAGCCCAGGTATTGCATGTGGTAATAAAGTCCAGTAATTTATGTGTTTGCAAATATTCCATCTTGCCAGTTTGAGATCCATCTTGAGGGTTCTGTAAATTAATTGCACAATTGTTGCTCAGGTTGCCAGACCATCCAGGGCATTCAGAACACATGGAAGCTGGCAGACCCTCCTTCATTGTAGGCTGTTAAACAGAGGCCAGATGGCATCAGTTAGGTATGGCTTTAGGTTTCAATCCCTTGCACAATGCACAGGTAGTCTAGATGACCCAGTTCTCCACTTCTATGATGCAATTATTCTAACACTTGATATACAAAAAGTGAGCATTAAAACAGAATTAAACTATTACAGTATTAAAACAAACCACACAATAAAAGACAATGCAAATGAAAGAAAAAAGATCAAAGCTCTTAAAAACAGTTGTTAAAATATTACACTCCCCACAAGCCCATTCTTTAAAACCTTTCTGTTTTAAATGCCTGTCTGGATAAAAGGTTTTAGCCTGCTGATGGAAGGATGACAATGAGGGAGACATTTTGGAATCCATGGAAAAGAAGTTCCAAAGTTTAGGGTCAGCCACAGAGAAGACACTCTCTTGTGTCCCCCACCAACCCTGCTTGTGATGGTGATGAGAATAAGAGAAGGGCCTCTCCTGAGGATCTCAGAGCCCAGGCTGGTTTGTACAGAGAGATACAATCTGCCAAATAGCCTTTGACCAGAGGCCCACATGGCTTTATAGGTCATAACCAGCACTTTGAATTGTGCCTTGAATCAAATTGGCAACCAGTGGAGCTTTTTCAACAGGGGTGCTGTGGTCTTTATAATCTACCCGAGTTAATAGTCTAATTGCAGCCTTTAGGACCAACTGAAGTTTCCAAACACAGCCCCAATTAGAGTGCATTACAGTAGTCCAAATGGGATGCAACTAAGGCATGTACCACTGTGGCCAAACATAGGACATTATCACATGGGGTCTAAAGCAGTGCCATCCCCGTTGCATCCCCGTCCCATTCCGCTTCCTTTTCCCCTGTGTTCACACGACGTCGCAGAGAAACCCAGCCCATCCCCGTCCCATTGCGGTTCTTTTCCCTGTGTCTTCACACGACATCGCACCCATCCCCGTCCCATCCCCATCCCATTGCGGCATCATCTGGCATCATCCCCGTTCTTTTGAATGCCGATTCTTTGGGAATTACATTTCTGCTGTGACCAGAATGATACCGGAATGATGCTGCTTTCTTTTTGCCGGTAAGTTCTGGATTGAAAAGGAACCGCAATGGGACGGGGATGCGACGGGAATGGGACTGCTTTAGGCCCCGTGTGATAACGTCCATAGCATTTCAAGGAATGGGTGCAGTTGGCACAAAGACTTTAAATGTGCAAAAGCACTCCAGGCCACAGCAGAAACCTGGGCCTCCAGGTTCAAAGCCGAGTCCAGGAGCAGCAATGAAGCCCCATCTAATACAAACTGAATCCCTGTTCCCTGATCTGCCTTCCAACTAAGAGCACACACTCCTCTTGTCCAGCGCTCTATGCAGGTCATCCATTAAGGTGACCAAAGCTGTCTGTATAGCCCAAGTCTGAAATCAGATTGAAATGTATCTAGATAATTCCAGAAACTCCTGGAGTTGAGAGGCCACATCATGCTTTCTTGGTAATGGGTAATTATCAACCAATACTTTACCAAAAAATGATAGGTTGGATACTGGTTGATAATACTTTACCAAAAAATGGTAGGTTGGACACTGGTTGATAATTACCCATTACCGAGGGATTCAGGGATGGCTTTTTCAACAAAGGCCTCATAACTGCCTCCTTTAGGCAAGTTGGAACACTGCCTTGTTGTAGGGATGTACTGACTGCCCCTTTCACCCACTCAGCCAGTCCCTCTCTGGCCTGTTTGATAAGCCAGGAAGGATGTCTAGCATACATGTGGTGGCACTCAACTTCATACCTGCATGTCTATTAAGCGCTACCTGCATGTATTCCATGCAATCCTGTATTCAATCATACAGCCATTACAAAGACACAAAGGAAGGGCACAAGGAAGACACGCCAGATAGATTCAGCATTGCAGGCTCTGCATTTCCCTCCATTTGACCCACCTGAAAGTTTTGTTAAGAGTGTGCAAGCCCTGCATTTCCAGGTGAGTATTTGTTGTTGGCAGCTGCATTCCTGTGGCAGTTCAGCCAGTAGGGATATTCAGTGGACAGGTGTTAGAAGAGGAGGGGGGAATTCTCTTTTATTTGGGGGTTTGGTTTTGGTGAAAATTCCCTTCTGGGATGTGAATGGTGCTCTGTGTTATGCTTAAGGCCATTTCGCATAGCATGCCACCACCAATCTAAGTGTTGTATGTTCTATGAGGCCAGAAAGATGTAGCCCATGCTGTGTGTCCTATCATTTGAGTCAAGGCCTAGCTGGATGAGATTTATATTTTGGGGGAGGTGTGCTGCAACTGGCTGGTAGTTTATGCTATATTGTAAGCTCAGTTCTTCCTGAAAGTAAGTACAGCCCCATCCTCTTGCCTATCTGGAGTGGTTGTGTATAGCTCATAATGACTAAATGCAAAGTACCCCTGTGCCTTTAACAATTATGAAGCAAAGGGAGTTTCAGCAGGTGCAGCTTTTCTCAGACTTAGATAACAAGCTGCATCTGCAAAAATACCTTCGACTACTACAAAAATAACTTAAGACATTCCATAGCGTGGTATGAAGCGGTATATAAATGAAGCTGCTTTTACTCTAGCCTTCCCCAAACATGGTTGCTGGGGAAAATGGGAGTTGTAATCCAACACTTCAGGAGGCCAGGCTGTTTTGCACAGTTCTTAATGACTTGCTTCTAGATTGTTCCTATAAACCCACAAAATGTAAGTTCTGGTTCCACAACTTTTGCAGGTTACTTCTGACCATGGAATCAAACAGCCTGCTTTCCTTCTGCCCCGAGTTACAGTTGCCAAAGCAGCTTTCAGTAGATCCAGAATTTGCTGAGGCAAACCCTTTCTCAGAGGTTGCTGCACATTCAAATGAGACTTTTCAAAGGGAATGAAGAAGTGCATTTTTGTGTGTGAGTTGATTCAGGACTTTGAAACGAATATACAACTCATGTTGAAAGCCTTTCCCTCCCTCTACTGAGGTGCTGAACTGGAAATTGAAAGGGGATGTGTGTTTGTGTGTGCGAGAGAGATGTGACACTGCCTCCCCACTGAGTCTATTTGCCTGCCACCAGTCTCTAATACTGGTGTTCTCTCCCCCACTACCACTGCCTCTGGAGGCACAGTAATTTCATTTTGCTTATTTGGCTGACAACACACAATCTGCTAGGTTGAGCAAGGTTCCTTACATAGAAAGTTTTCTGAAACTGCAATTTAATTAGCAGCTGCCGGGTAGGAAGAAAAGCACACAGCTTGAAAGGGCTTGATGATTCAGGTCTGCAGGATTCAGCAATTTGACATTCTAATCATGCTATTTTTTTTTTCACCTTTAAACCTAATCAAGCCAGCAACATGGTTCTTTTTATTGTTCACCTCTGGCTGAATTTCTCCAGCCTTGTCTCTGCTTCATGCTGAGGGCCAAAGCCCGCAACTCCCTTTCCCATGTTGCTTGGTAACATGATGTCACGGCCGAGCGATGGGCAGCAGTCTGCCAGGAAGTCCTGGTTGTTTGAAAATGCCTGTGAACTTGTGGACAGGAGCATGAAGAAATACTGTTTATGTGGGCTTCCAGAAGGTTTTTGATATATAGTTGCCTCTCCATTCTTGCGGACTTGAGATCCGCGTCCCTCGCCTATCTTTGGGCAGTGAACGGAGGAGCATAAAATAGGGTGAATGCCCATGACACACCCCCACATGTGCCCATGGGCGCGCACTTCCATTCAAGCCTATGGGGCTTATATATACACAATTTTTCCTTAGAGCATGGAGGGTCGACTGTAGTCCTTAACCAGAGTTAGTTTAGTAGTAATGGAATATGATAAGAAGTACTCTCATGGATTAAAAACTGGTTAATGAACAGGAAACAGAGGCTGTTGCCACACTGCAGAATTAATGCAGTTTGACACAGCTTTAATTGCTATGACTTCATTCTAGGGTTCCTGGGATTTGTAGTTTGTTGTGGCACCAGAGCGCTCTCACAGAAGTGTTTAAATATCTCACAAAACTACAAATCCCAGAGTTCTGTAGCATTAAGCCACAGCAGTTAAAGTGGTGTCAAACTGGATTATTTCTACAGTGCAGATGCAGCCATCGATGCATAGAAGGAGACATCATGGCATGTGTGAAACTACAAATAGTGTGAAGAAAGTAAATTAAGAAGAAAGCCTTACTTTTGCAGTGTAGATGCAGCCAGGAGATACAGTGTGGTGTAGTGGTTTGACCATTGGATTATGACTCCAGAGACCAGGGTTCGACTTCCAGCCATGAAATCCACTGGATGACCTTGGGCAAATCACACTCTCTCAGCCTCAGAGGAAAGTAATGGCAAATCTTCTCAGAATAAATCTTGCCAAGACCCAATGATAGGTTTATCTCAGGGTTGCCATAAGCCAGAAATGACTTGGAGGCACCCAAGAACAACAAAACACAGATTATGAATAAATTATCAGTTCTCACAGTGAAGCAGTGTGAGCAGTGGATTCCCTCAAGGATCTGTATTACAACTCGTGATTTTTAACATGTTCATAAAAGTCTGGAGTTAGGGTTGTGTGGTAAGGTGGCAAAGTTTTCAGACAATACTGTGAATAGTTTAAGGTAGGGAGAGGGAGAACAAAAATAGCTTGCAGTGAACTTCAAAATGATCTCCCCAAACTGTGGCAGTGGGCAGTAAAATGGCAAATGAAATTAATATGCATGTAGAAAGGCAAGCCCTGCTGACAAAAAATCAGTGTGCCTTCTACAAAGTTGCTGTCTCAGTAATCTTTTCTTTTGAAGGTATCAATAAACATGCGGGCCAAAGTAGATACAGTTTAGCTGGACTTCAAAAGGCTTTGGACAAAGTTTCAAAAGAATCTCTCCTAACTGAACACTAAAATGAGATTCAGTGCAAGCAATTATACAGTGATACTTATTAAGAAAAGAACTTCCAAATGACCAATAATGGGAATTTGGGAGTTGTGATAGATAGCTCATTGAAAATTCAGATCCAGGGTGCTAATACTGTTAAAAGGTGGTGCTAGGGGAATTCCATGTTGGGTAAGATTACAAATGAAAGTAAAACTGGGTGTATCATAGTACCCTTACTACAGTGCAATAATGTCTAGAATTCTGTGTTCCTTTCTAAGGCCCATTCACACTACACAATTACAGCACTATAATTGTACTTTAGCTGCCATGGCTGCTTCCTACATAATCTTGGGGCTTGTGGTTTGGTGAGGACATCTCTGGGATTTGGAACAAATTAGAGATTCTACTGGTGTGCTGCTTGCTCTGCTGTCCAGCAATCCTCCTGACTAAACAGAGGTAGTCTCAAATTTGTTGTTAAGGTCCCTAGGATCTTACCCTTGGGGCTATCCACATCCATGCCAAGGTTGCCTTGCCAGGGTTGTCTCAAGATTTCATAACCACTGTGATAACCATGAGACTATCACGGCATGTCATGAGCCCAACCCTTGTAGCATGATGCACCTTTAATGTGTGTTCTCCTGACACAAAAGGAGGACAGTAACCCAAGAGGAAAGGATTTGATTCTAAATCTTTGGTATAGTTGGGCCACATCTGAATATGCTTTCATCTGTGCCATCTATTCTTTTCTGCAGGGGTGGAATACCTATTACATCTGGAGGCTTATGGGAGCCATAGGCTTCTAAAAGTCTCCTGATGATTCACTAGCAGGCATGGCTGACACTCTTCTCAATCTTGTCATCATTCTGGGCTGCACAGATGACCTGAACGGTTGACACGCTTTCTCTTAAGCATCCTTTTCTGTAGAGCAGAACATGATCAGCTCCTGGGCATTCTTGGAAGCTGAGGGCAATGAAGCGAATAGGAGGATGGCTAGAGCCCAAGTGGCATAATGCACAAAGTCAATCTGATTAAATACTAGTCAGAGCTCATTATCTAACCTGTTCAGTTGCAGTCAAGTCAGCAAGGAAGCAGCTATTTTTTCCTTGAAAACAATTGTGTCCTCCTAGTCCTATCCAATGGAGCTTTTCTGGGTAGCTTCCCTGGCATTCTGCAATCTGATGATGTTAGAGAACTCTTGGAAGCCTGCCAGAAAACATTCACAAAGCACAGTGAGGAAACAATCACTCACATCCATCTTACTTTGGATTGTTCAATCAGGTCACCATGTAAATGGTCCAAAGCCCTGCTTGAATCTGTATTGCTGGACAAATTTCATTTGTTGAGGCCTGAAGATATAGATAAGATGCTTGGACAGCTGAAGCCAATTGTGTTTGCTCAATCCTTGGCTATCTTTGATTGTCAAACAGCTGGAGACAGACCAGGTGTATCCAGGAGATGATAAAATGGAAAGGGAGATAATTTTGTCTACCATAAAAGAGGTAATGGCTGAAGAAACCTATTATGGACCCAGAGAATTTGCTAAATATCAGCCAGTTACTAATTCCCTTTTTTGGGTTGAAGTGCTTGAAGGGATAATTGCTATTCAAATTTGTGCACTCTTGGATGAAAGTGAGCTACCAGACACGTTTCAACTGGATGTCAGGCCTACGTTTGGCACTGAGACCATTTGATGCTCTAATAGCTGCCCTGTGCTGGGAAAAAAGACAGCAGCAGGAAAGCAAACAAGGTTTACAGGGCATTTTAGGAACATTTGTTGCGTTTGTTTCCATCTCATACCAGATACTACTTATTGATCTCATCTGGAAGTATGTTCAGTTCTGGGCACCATCATGTAAGAAAGAAATTGACTAAAAACAACAACAACAACAACAACAATTTATTTATAGCCTGCCGAATTACAAGGAATCTGGGTGGGTTTCAACAATAAAAGTGTTTAAAAATAAAACTAGAATGTGTCCATGGGAGGGTAACAAAAATGGTAAACGGAATAGAAACTTGAGTTCTATGGTGTAGTTTATCTATTTAACCTGCAGAAGAAACAACTGAGAAGATAGCTATAATAGCAATCTTAAAGTATCTGAGAGGCTGTCACATAGAAAACTGTACAACCTTTTTTTTCTACTGCTCTAGAGGATGGGGACCAAACCAACAGGTTCCAGAAAGGAGATTTGATTAAACTTTTACAATTCATGATGATAAGAGGAGTTTGAAATTGGAATTGCTGGTAGACTCTCAGTTTAGGTTTTTAAGTTGAGGCTGGAGGGCTGGCCGTCTGTCACAGCTTGATTAGATGAATGTTGAGTTACCTTACAACACAATTCTGTGGTTCTATGAGTCTGGATTTGCCTGGCTCCCCAAACAAAGAACCCATTGCTTCTATAATGTTGTCATTCTCAATATACACAAATCATCCAACAATGTGAGAGACAGCATGAGAAAGTTATCATGTTGCTTTCAAACAGGCTTCCATTATACAATCACCTGGCCTTATTCATGGAATTTTGAGGAGGTCCAGATGTTATTGTCTTCTATTTGTAACCCTCTTGTATTTTCCTCACTGCTTCTTCCATCTTTTTCTTTACATCCCCAACACACACACATCAAGAAGAAAAATATGGAATAGCATCAGAATGCATTTTCACAGATAGTACTAGGTGCTGCCCATTTAAAAGTAGGCTCTGTTGATATGTTCTTCCTATTCCATGTTAAGCTGGCCTACCAAGAGTATCTCGTTCAAAGGTTCCCTCAATATGCCTGGGGCTGCAAACAAAACTTGACAAGAATTTGTAATGCATGAATCTCCCATAGTCTAGACAAGTGAAAACGGTGTGACAAAGCCATACTGAATGTTTTTTCCTCATTGTTGTGTCTTTTCTAACATGATTTACATAATTTTCTAGTGTTTTTGATGCCCTTCCTCCCACACTAAGAAAACTTCTCTGATCATAAATCATTGTTTTTATTTATATACAAGCGAATGGATTTTAGAACAGATCAAGCTTGAACTCTCTCTGGAAGCCAAAATGACGTAGGGGGGTTGCAGACTGCCAGAAATAGTGCAAATTCAGTCCACTTTTAGGGTTAAGGTTAGGGTTAGGGAATCATGGGAACTGTATTTTATTGTGGCACCAGAGCTCTCTGACAGAGAAGGCTCAATGTCCCAGAAAAAAACAATTCCCATGATTCCTAGCACTAACCCTAACCCTAAAAGTGGACTCAATTTGCACTATTTCTAGCAGTCTGCAACCCCTGTAAGTTGAGACTGTCATACTTTGGCCACATTGTGAGAGAAAATGAATCATTAGAAAAGGCAGTGGTGCTAGGGAAGGTGGAAGGCAGTAGAAGGAGAGGAAGACCAAATGCCAGATGATTAGACTCAGTCAGGGAGGGCCTGGGCTTGGGCCTGCAGGACCTGAGCAGAGAGTAGAGGACAAAGTCTTGGAGATGGGTTTGCCATGAGTTGAAATCAACTTCAGGGCAGTTAACAACAACAAACACAGACACACATTCAATGTTTGAGTCAGCTTGTATACTAAACCAAACCATGAAGCTTAGCTCTATCAGCAGTTGGCATCTTGCCCTATATTGAGGTCATACTAACATAGATGGATCTTACATTTCCTTCCTCTACTTAGAAGGGGAGTATATTGCTGCCCTTCTTCAGAGCCTCAGAGAAACCAGTCAGTGCCCCAGTCCAAGATGAGCTGTCACTTATTTCCCATTGTGATAGAGCACAGTTGGCTTTTAACCTGGCAAATGATGGACGTCTCAGCCATTCATCATATCTGTTGGGCAAGAGAAAGAGGTCATCAAAGGGCTTATAGCACCAGCCTTCCTTCTTTAAGCTGTCACAACACATAAGAATTTCTGCATATTTTTTCTCCTTCTGGGAAAACTGAGGTTTCCCCTTCATGCCAAATTATGCTCCTGTTTCCATGTGCCAAGTGAAATTTCTTATCTGGCGTTCAGACTTCTCAAAGGTTCATGGCAAAGTAGATTGCATCATAACTGACAAAAGATGTATTGTTTCATTAATTTGCCAAACTGGCAGATACATGTTCTGTGAATTCTCATTCCTTGTAGCCCATTTGGCAGTCTATTGTTGTTGTTTTTAATGAGGAAATATCTCCAAATGCTTTTCCTCACAAGTTTCCTACCTATAGCTGACAAAGCTTCCCAAATAAGATTGGTTTGAAAATTGTGGCCCTGTCTCCTGATGACATTGTGTGTCAGTTTGGGTGAGGGAAGAGGCTGCTGACACACTGTAGGATTAACACAGTTTGACCCCATTTTAACTGTCATGGCTTCATCCTGTGGAATCCTGGGATTTGTAGTTTCTTATACCTCCAGAGCTCTCTCTGAGAGAGGATGCTAAGTATGTCACAAAACTGCAAACCCCAGA